ATTCTTATGCTACGCGCCGGGTTATGGATAAAATCCAGTACAATAACGCTCACAAGGTAGTACTCATTCCAGCCCTAACGCTAACCAGAACCTTATCCCAAACCTTAACCAGCACTTTAATCATTTTAGATAGTGTTTTCCAAAACTTAAGATTTAAGTAAAATGAAAGTACATATGTAGATTCATTCCAAATGGTTCTCATATTTCCTTTTTTTTTTATCTTGTAATCTAGGGACGTCTTGGGTGCCTGGAAGTGTAATATATCGATGATTTGTCACCTAGCATAAAATACTATGCTTTGGGAGTAAGAACGTGTTAATACCTGCACACAGATCTGCTTCTGATATTTTGATGTGAATACCAACAAGAAGTCTACTAATATTCCTTATTTCAGTTTCATATGTTTGTGAAACATATTACCCCAAATGGTAGAGAATTTAAAAAATAAAATAAAATCGGGATCTAGATCAACTCCAGGGGTTAATCACTTCTGCAGAAAGGTTTTAGTCACCGTAGACTGTAAGATGTTGCAAAGACTGGCGATCTTGCAGAGGCACAATTTCAGAAACTATAGTTATATTAACACTAAGACTTTTCCCATCATGCTCCAGATAAAAATTTACCACAAAAAACATTGATCAATGGATCACATACAGAAGCAGGTTTTTGTGTTTCTACTGAAAAAACAAAAACAAAAAACAATACAAAAGTGTTGATTTAACTCGAGCATCAAGACCCTAACCCAAGACAGTATGAGCATTTATGTACATTAAAAATATAACTGTGACACTGAAACTGTTGGAAAACTACTTCAGAGTAAGATTGACATAAGATGTCCATAACTAATGATCTATTATACAGTCAAACAAACAAAAACTGAACGCATAAATTGAACCAACCACAAAGCTCTTTGTCAGAGGTAATTAACAGAGACACAAAACAGACAAACAAATGACTAAGACAACGGATTAATCATCAAAACTGATTTGTGTCAAATGACTAATCACTTTAATTGTTAAAAAGGAAAAAAAGGTCTCCTCGAATCTGCTCCGGCAACAAATATTCAGCTGCTGCTGTTATAATTACTCGTGATAATTAGGAGGATCTAAATTATTTTGTTGTCCTTTTGTCCCGACTCACACAAACATGTCGGTTTTCCCTCACAGAGGCGTGGAGCTCGGGCTGAAATGAACGTTTCACAATTGCTGACAAGCTGATGTTTCGCAATTAATTAAAATCTCAAGCTACAACTGGGCGCAATAATTGTTCCTTTGCTGCTGGATGTTCGTGTTGTGGAGCCACTGCTGTGTGTGTGTGTAAACTTAATGTTTAGTCTGACATTTCAAACAAAGCTTCCCGTCAGGAGGAAAAGGGAAACGCTTAAATAAAAGTGTGTGTTGGGGGGGGGGGACGCAGCTTAATATGCAGGAAAAGCCGTTGGGTCCGCGGTGGCGTGCTAACGTGTGTGCGCACTCATAAAAACAACACACGCGCACGTTCTGCAGCTCCATCCGTCTCTTCTCACTTTTTTTAATTTGTTTTTTTATTTCTTCTGTTATGTGCTCTCATATACACGCGCGCACGTGTCTGCATGAACACAGAAAAGCACAGTCTAGCCACACGTGCACGCCCGCCCCCCTAAACCCCCGCCCCCAAAAAACACTGCACAACATCCATCTCGCACAGGCAAAACGCACGAACACGCAAGAACCGAGCCTTCGGAGACCAACACAAACTCTGCAGCCCTCCTCTCTCACACACGCGCGCGCGCGCGCACTCCCTCTACACCCCCTCTCTTTCCAGCATTAGTCAATAGAGTCAGGATACATAAACCACCCACCAGTCACCCAAAGCATCTCCCAGCCAAACCCTACCTCTCTCTCTCTCCCTGCAACAACACACATACAACCCGCAACAGCCTGAGCAAGAACAGGACAAGAACATTCAAATTCTTAAATTAAATCAGACCAAGTGCCCAAAATTCATAAACACGCCACAGCACGAATTCAGGTAAGCAGCACATCCAGGTTGGCTTATCAGCACGTATAAAAGCAGCTCCAGCTCAAGTGTGAAGGTGTAATACAGTCAGAACATGTGGGAGGGATGGACGAGAACTGTGGCACAAATTCAGTCTTTCTTTGGGTTTAAAGCACATCTGACACACTCCAGTCTTTTTTTATTTTTACTTGTTGTTGTTGTTAAGACCAGGCGTGTGGAGGAAGATCTTAGTTGAGGACAAGCCGTATATAAAAGCTGTAAAAGTACCAGCTTTATTGGCCCTTCATTGCTGCTCTTGCTTATGTTAAAACTGACGCTCCAACACCATGGCCGACGTTTAATTTTGGGGAAACATGATAACAGGTACAGCCGAGCGCTGGCGCCGTTTCCAGGCAGCCCTTTAGTTATCTTGTTTATTTTTTAAAAAACCGGCCACAGCTTCAGTCAATTAATCAATTACGGACGCTTACAGGTGTTAATTCGCGCTGTTTGCCGGTTTAAGCCGGATTTAGAAGAAGAAGAAAACAGTCAATGTTTGGTGGCTCTTACCTTTTTGTCCGGAGACCTTGTTTCTCCGTTGTTGTGGGGAAAAATAATAAATAATAATAAAAAACGGCCGCTGCGCTCCTCCAAAATGAACGTTAACTCCCTTCTCCCTGAAGGTCTCGCGCACTTCACGTGCGGAGCTTTCTCACTCTCTGCGTTCTCTGCGCTTGTCTGTCCGTCTTTCTGTCTTTTCTTTTCTCGCGGGATTTCCTCCTCCACCTTCCAGCCGTCTTCTTGTGCTTCTTCTCCTTTTCTTCTTCTTCTCTGCTTCTTCTTCTTCCACCACTTTCTTCTTCAGCTCGTCCTCCTCGCGCCATCCGGACGAAGACGGAGCGGCTCGCGACGCTTGTGCTCGTGCTGCTGATGCTGCGCCTCCATCCTGACGCCGGCGGCTGCTTCAGCGGAAGATAGCAGAGATGCTCTCTCTCTCTCTGTGTGTGTCTGAAATCTAAATCCTGTAGCTACAGGTGATGATTTTTTTTTTTTAAATCCGAGATAGAGTTTTAGTGCAGCCCACGCGGTTGCTTGCAGGGTGTCTTGTTTCCACAGAGAGGCGTCGGTAACCGGTGACACGGACGAGATACCACTTCACGTCCTCTCGCTCTCTCTCGCTGTTGACCCCCATCAAATGAAATGGTATAGATCCACTCCATTTCCACTCCACTGCATTTGGAATAGGAACGCTCCTCTCTGTTTCTTTTTGATTTATATAGTTGTATTTTTCTTTTTTGCGACAGGCGTGTTTAATAAAGACTTTGCACGTTGATGTTTTCTACTCAGCTCAACAAATATTTGATATCCAGCACTTTAATCGTTATATTATGGAGTTGTTAAAACAGTGGTGCTTCAGCATTTCATTACAAAGTTAAGGATCTTTATGCTTCTTTCGTTGCAAGGAATACTGAATTATCTTTACCCTGCATTTATTTGTGACGTTTCTGACAAATAAATGTAAACTAAAGGATGGATAGATAGATCAATAGACAGTTGCAATTTTTTTTTAAGCATGATAAGTTCATAAAAGCACAACACAAGGGGAAAGCATGACATTTAAGTAAATCTGTCAAAAACCAAAAAGAACATTTCAGAAAATAGCACACATAAAGCACGTTTCATACAAATAACTATTCAGAAAAGCAATGAAAGCAAAAACACCCGATTGCATCGATTTTTTTCATAACTTGTTCACTACACCAAAATAATCCAACTGTTTAGTTTTTTTTTTTGTCTTATTTTCAATAAAACCTTCTGTTTAAATTGATTCTTAAACCACTTTTCACCCCTAGAACAGCCTGTTGACTGAGTATGTGAAATTCATTTTACATTGTGGGCCACATACAGCTCACTTTGATCTTAAGTGTGCCGAACCAATGAAATCCCTCTTTCTGCTTCTGGGAAAAGTGCATTTTCAACAGTATGTCTCAGTTGTTTCACATGATAAAGAAACATTGCTGAAGTAAATAAAAGAAATCTGTCAGCATGGCTGTTTGGGGTTAAATTATAAGCAATAAACTTAGGTGTTATATTTGACAGTTCAATGTCTCTTGAGAAACACTCTAAACAACTTGTCCGGAACTGTTTTTATCATCTAAGAAACATTTCTAAACTCAGACTGCTGGTGTCAAAGGCAGAACTTGAGATGATTATTCATGCTTTTATTTCTTCTCGTTTGGATTATTGTAACGGTCTTTTTACGTGTCTCAACAAATCAGCTCTGGATCGCCTTCAGTCTGTACAGAATGCAGCGGCAAGGCTTTTAACTGGTACAAATAAGAGGTCACACATTACTCCAGTTTTGGCTTCTCTTCATTGGTTGCCTGTAAATTTTAGGGTTCATTTTAAAAATTAAAATTCATTTTAGTTGTAACTTTTAGAGCTCTGCACGGTGAAGCTCCCCAGTATATCTCTGACCTGTTGAAACCTCATGCTTCATCCTGAGCACTTAGGTCTTCAGGTCAGAGGCTACTGGTGGTCCCACGTACTAGGTTTAAAACACGTGGGGATCGGGCTTTTCAGGCACTGGCACCTAGGCTGTGGAACTCTCTGCCGTTGTCTTTACGCTGTCTAGACTCTACTGACTCCTTTAAAAAGCAGCTGAAGACATTTTTATACAAACGGGCTTTTAATTAATTTTAACTTGTATGTCTGATCTTATTGTAAAGCACTTTGTGATTTTTATCTGTGAAATGTGCTATATAAATAAATTTTACTTACTTACTTACTTACTTAAATGTGTAAAACTACAGAAAAAGTTCTGGTAGCTCGATGACTTGATTGCGTGGAATCTCTAAAAACAAATGAGTAGACTTCAGTTATTTGGGGGGTTTTTTGTCCGTGAAGGACTAGTATTAAAACACATTTTTAAAGTCCAAAATTTATGGCTTCGTTAGCATTTTCCAAAGCCCCCCAGTGGGCTGTAGTCTTTGCCGGACTGATTCTGGTCCCCCGGGACTTATGTTTGACATCCTTGCTGTAGACTGATAAAAATCTGTGATGGTCTAAAATGTTACACAGAGGTGAAATTGAAATATGAGTATTACAGTCTTAATCCATGACATGTAATCTGCTACCCTGCACCATCTCTGTCAACAGGATGGATTTAATGTCGTGGATTTGTTTAGCAGTTGCACAGTTTAATCATAACATTACATGCATTACTTTTGCTGTTCGTCCCCCTATAGTTTAAACATTAGTAGGCAACTAATAGGTGTCTGAAATCTGATCATTACTGACCCTTTTGAAGGTTGTTTTTAAATTTCTCTTCCATTTTAAATTTCTCTTCCATCCTTGGGACTAGCTGAAGTTTTCTATCTGATGCTGGACAGTGTTTAGAGACTTTCGTCCATGCTCTTCTTGCTAATTAGAGCTGTCAGTCATTGCCAGGGGGCGGGTCTCAAGTGCAGAGGCCAGCTAGAAATTTGAGGGTGCAGCTTGAATGCTAAGGAGGCTTTGAAGCAAAGGTCCAGTTAGACGTGCACTGAAATTAAACGGTGACCTCTTGTAGTTAATTAAGGGCACAGCAGCAGTCCCCTTTATGAACTACAGAAAACAGAGACTGATAAGTTTGAGAAGATAACTATTTTCATTTTATTTTATTTGAAACAAAACTGGTGCCTTGTTGATTTTCTGATGCCTAATGATCAACAGGTAAAGATTTACTGTGACGGACTGGCGACTTGTCCAGGATGTACCCCACCTCTTGCCCTATGGCACCAGCTGATGGATGGTAAAGATTCACAACAAGAGGTCACAGGTGTGTGTAAAGTGTTATACTGCAGCTGGTTGTAATTTTCATGGTGACTGCTGTCCTGTCAGAGGTACACTAATGCCATAAAGCGGCTTGTAGTGCAAGAAGTTGTTAATACTTAAAGAGAATATCTATTTTCTAATTACAAACCATTGAAACTGTAAAAAAAAAATCCAGCAATATCTTTTAAAAAAATGTAAAGCACTAGTTAAAGACTTCAGGCTGAACCAAATCTGGTTCACTGGAGTTAGACAGGCGTCAGACAGGTGTACGTACAGATTGCAGTTACACAAGACTGAGACAATCATATGTTCTCCCACCTTGATGTAAAATTGAAGCTAACCTTTATTGATTCCCTTAAAGGGATCCATTGTATTTAATAATATTTAATTTTAATTATTAGGAGCATTGAGCAAGCATTGTGCAGTTACCTTAGGATGTTTGGATGACTGTAAAGGTCAAATCTCAGACAGGAAACCAAAAAAGAACGGGAAGAACATGCAGACTTGGTATACACTTGCTGCGAGGTGATATTGTTTGCCACCTGGCCATGAGTTCTTATTGTTTTCAACAAGACTTGGCGTCCCATCAAGACTTAATATATTGATTGAAAACAACCCCAATTAACCAAAAAAGTTTGAATATTGTATGAAATATACATTAAAAAATGCAAGAAGACGTTCTCTCTCTTTTCTTTTTTAAAATCTTTAAATACAGCAGCACAGACCAGACTGATGTGAGACTACATTCTGTGGTGGTCTTGCAGAAGCACCTTGTTTGGCCTTGGGGTTTACCCAGAGTAAAGCTGACCTTACTCTAGCAGGTCTTAGCCACCACATTCTCTTTTGTCTCTACCATGAGGGGGGACAGAGAGACAAGCACCATAAAGTTAGAAATGCAACATGATTTCAGTGTCTTTTTATTCTGGGGAAACATTTGTCCTGTGCACACACAAAATGTGGACTCGAACTCTAAAAAGAAAACTGCTTCTTTAGAATTGACGTCATTGCCTTTGAAGACCAAAATGTAACAGTTCAGCTACTCCAAATACACCGATGTCGTACCAAATTCACTCCCTGTGCTCATCTCATCTGATGCTAAATGTTCCAAAAGGAAAGAATGAATACATTTGTGTGTGTGTGTGTGTGTGTGTGTGTGTGTGTGTGTGTGTGTGTGT